ACAACAGGCGCTGAATGAATGTGTTACCAATACTTCACTGTTACACCACTTGCACTTGGATACCAGGTCTTTCAGTTTCGCTAAATCAACAATAACTTTAATATTGATTTCTAAAGTATACCATTAATAATGAATTAAATATTTTTGTCACTACCTTGTCCTTGTTCACTGCTGTCCTTGTCTTTGCCTACTGCTGTATCATCTGTATTATTACTGTCATCATTGCTTATCCTAAATTAACACCAAACAATAGTAATAAGCAAGAACATTGCTTCGTCATGTGTCTTACGAATCAGAGTCACTAATCACTTTATCATCACAATCCATTTCACTTTCACTGTCTGTTTCACTGTCACATTTGTTACTTTTATTAATCATTTGAGAAATGTGTTCAATTTCAATAGTACTATTGGGCAACAAGTAATTGCAAATAAATGTAAAATGTTATACCTTTCAGAATCTGACTCATCTGTACCTTCATCATCACTACTGGGACTGTTAACAATACTACCAATCAGTGATGAAGTAATTGTAGTAGTACTAGGTAGTGCATTGTATAGATTATCTCAAGAAAACATACATGTATGTACTTTGGTGACTTCCATTCCTGGCGTAACCTTTTTCTGCAATTATGCGAGACTGGAGTAGAAGTTAATGCAAATGTTTCAGGTAGAACTATGCCAGATTCCATTTCTCTTGCCATTTCTCCATTGAATCTGATTCAGTACTGAATAATTTGTATTGCATCAAAATAACTAATTCACCTCATCTCACTCTCAGTATCACATGGCAACTCCTCTGGCTCAGATACACTAATGGACAAACTATTAATAACCTTGTTTTTATTATCATTACCTGTGTTCCTTCATAAGCTCTCTTTTAGCTAGTCTAAGCAAGTAACTACAAAACTCATTGTCTTTGACTATCTTTGCGATGCCTTTTAACTTATTCCACTCGACACGATCCTTCTTTTTAATATATATTCTAGAAAATTCGTGTGAGGCACTTCTTGGTCTGCCAGAACCAGGTCGCCATCCACCATGCTTCAGTGTAGCCACACTTCTAGTAACCTCCATTTTGCATAAACCACACCCAAACACAATTATAATTGAACATGGGAGTAAAAACGTGACGCAATCTTGATTTTGTAGGCTGTGAAATCAAGATGACACGCTTCCGTGTCCGTGCTCCTTTAAGCTTTTGAGATGATTATTTCAGTATAGATATAATATATGAAAATATCTGAAAATAAAGGCGAATATTAAGGCTACTCTCCTCCATCTACCACTATGTACTTCAGCCTGAAAATTTGTGTAGATATTTTTGTATCTTGTATACTCGTGCTATGACTGGTATGGAATGCTTGAATAGGAGATAAACATAGCAATATAGATAAATATGCTATTGCTGTTATGGAAATAAAGTTGGAAAGCATAACAAATGAAGAAGCTCTTGCCTATTGTCAATAGGCGCTTCTTTTACACTAACTAATTGTGACCATAATTGACAAAAGGTACCTTATGGCGGGTAGTGAAATTTGTCTTTCTAGCCAAAGAAATCCAACTTCCTGAGCGCCATTTATCATAAAATTACTCCAAAGGATGCAAAAAGTTACCATGAAACTTTTAGAAACAATGATTGTCTAACAAAGCACTCACAGGTTAATATTTGCCATTATTAAGATTAATTTTAAAATCTGCCATAAGGGCCCTTTTGTCAATTATGGTAACAATTTATACTGACTGATATCAGAACCTGTTGCAATTTTAATATCAAGAGTTATAATTGTATATGCTGAAAGGCCTTCAAAA